TCTTATTAAGTGTTTTGAGACCATTGATTTGATAAGACGCTATATTAAATGCAAGTACATTTAACTGCATTAAATCAAATCAATATTTTAGTCTGGATTATGAAGCGAAGAGGACTTTAGTATGTGGCTGCTCACTGAATGTGGCTGTATGATAATAGCTCTGAAGTTAAGATTAGTTGAGAAGATGGTTATCACTACCTAGCTGACTGGTAGGTGAACACAGCAGCCAACTAGTACACAGCAACGTCCTGAACAAACAGCCATGAAGTGAGTGACCAATTTTATTTGGGGGATTGTTGGCCTGGAGACCTTGAGAAACTCCCTTCTCTTTTTAAATAACGCCATGAGATCTATTAATATCCATTTGAATAGGCAGACTGAACCTCAGTTTGAACATGTCATTCAAGGAACTGCACTTCCCAGTAATTTGGTCTCCCTTGTATTTAAAGCTTGAAGGTTTCCATTACTGTAAATGGAAAATTGAGAGACAAAGCAACAAAGTGGCTTCTGTACAATAGAACACCACACTGCTCAGTAAAAGGCCTGGTATGCAAAGAAAACTCCAGCAGGTTTGATTTACGTAGACAGAACGTGCATCTATATATGCCATCCCCCAGAGGATAGAGTTCAAAATCCTCATCCTCACCTTCAAGGCCCTTCAGGGCTTTGCTCCTCCCTTGCAACCCCATATCAACCTGTCCGCTCCCACTTCTCAGCAGACTGTGGCCTGCTCCACGTGCCCCGCCCCACCATCGGCGGTCGAGCCTTCAGCCTTTCTATCCCCACCCTATAGAACTCCATCCCACATTTCCTTTGCCTCACTCCCTCCCTTGCCTCCTTCAAGGCATGTCTCAAAACCCTCCTCTTTGACCGAGTCTTCGGCCACCCTCCTACCTTCCCTGCCCTCCATCGCAGATAAATCCCATCTGGTCAGGATGAATTGTTTTTCAGGAGTTGTCATTCCCACTTTTGTATTAAAGAGATTGTTACTTCATTCTGTAACTCTAACCCTTACCCTGGTTTAGCTGTGTGACGCGGACCAATAATGTGGAGTGCGCTCTTAGGTCTTGAATGGAGATTGATTTTTTTTGCCACTTCAAACCCATCCATTCTCTATTCAATGCAGTGGTTTGTAAGTGGTCACATTCTGTTTGTTCTGTTTGCTTTCATGTGTCTAAAAGTTGAACATAACTTCATTTTTGAAAAAACTTTTTATCTTACAGCATTCTCCTGGGTCACTGCCAATGCTGGTTTGACTGGGCAGTAGGCAATGTACTAGTCTGCCCTGCTCCTAACCAGCTCACATTTTTCTTCCTCTTCACAATTATAGGGCGCTTAGGTTTACTGGATACTTGTTAAATGCAGTTAAGATTCATGACTGTCTGGTAGGAGATCAAATCTTCTATTTGATGCTCCAGTGCTCAGCATCGCAGTGCTAGGCATTGGAGCATCATACAGAAGATTCAATCTACCTCTTTTCAACAGACTCTTAATGCTCTCGATTCAAGAGAAGTAGTTAACTGAACTCACTCCCAAGCTTTGATTTCTGGGTTCTGATTGTGAATCCAGGCTGTCTGCTGTCTAGTTATAAGGGTTCTATATGTGAAATGAACTCAGCTTCCATTCCCAGTGGAAATTCGCTCTCAGCACAAAACTGCCCATAATGGGGCACTAAATTGGCAATTCACTCAGGTCTTATAGAATGGTTGGTTGGGAATCAGAAAATACTTGAGCAGGAGAGATTGCTCTTTTGGAAATTGGGTGGAGAAGCAGAAGGTTGTCTTTTCCGTCACTGTGCTGTACTCTATCAGGGAGTGCTTGTTAAAACACTGTGTTCCCAGGAACAGTAATCTTCAAACTTGAATGCAAATTTGACAGAGATAAAAAGAGAAATACATGTGTCTGATTTTGTTTTTAGGAAAGCGAACAACTAAACTAACCAGGTACTGTGATACTTTAACCATTAGTCAGGATTGGTGAATTAATGTTGTTCGGGATAGAATACCCAAGTCCAAATGTGGTCCCAAAATTCTGAAATACAGTACTTTAAAATGCAATTCTTGGAGGAAGAAGAATATTTTAGGTTATTTCATAGGAATGTCTACGAAGCTGCATTTGTGTATGTTTATCATGTTGTAGTGTTGGAACACTTTGAGGTAGCAATGTTCGAGTTAGCATTCCTGTCAGTCAGAACAATTACAATTTTCAATTACAATTTACATGTGGTGAAGATGGCTTAAAGTGCTTTACACAGTTGTCTGGGAGCTTGAGCTGGGGAGTTGAAAGGTGGACGAAAGCGTTTTCAGGGTGACGGAGGTGGAGCAGGTGGAAAGATGGTGGAGACGGATGGAGAATAAGGAGCCAAAGGAAACCCTCGCTAGAAACAGAATATGTTATTTTCAGTGTGTCCCTGTCCATTGTTATATCCTTATTTTGTTTCATTGGGGTTTAAAAGGGATAATAATATGTCTGTTTCAATTGATTTGTATTTTGTTCTCCTCCGCACAGTTTAGGAACGTTTAATTTCATTCAGAATGTTGTTTTGCCGTTACACAGGGCACTGGTTGACATTCGCACAAACAATATTGCTGAATGTTAATATGTCATCTGATCTAGCAGACTGCCTTAAAGCTTTGGTTTGGGGATAATGGAACCTTTACAAGGTTTTCATTTTTCTACTCCTTTTAGATACATTATTTTGCTATTCTTGGGTAAAAAGCGTCAGCATTTCTGCTTTTATTAATATTTTGGTTGCAGGTAAGCATATTTTTGGAAATAGTGCTGTAATTAATCACCTTAAGACCTCCAATGCTTTTTTTGTAAACGTCAAAGATTATAGCTTCAAACTCAATAGCAGTATTTTGACTATGCATTCGAGATTGACATTCCAATACAGCACTGGGGGAGCAACAGAATTGTTGGAGGTGTCATCCTTTGTATAAAACTGTAAACCCAAAACTATTACCAGTTCAGACAGATGCTAAAGAACCTACAACACTATTCGAAAAGAGAATGGAGTTTATTCCAGGGTTTCAGACCAATAATCCACCAGATAAAACTGGCCATTTGCATTTTGACTGTGTTTCTGGCACAAGGTTGCTGCTTTTGCCTACAGACACACAGTCACTTCACTTTACAGTAAATCCTGCAAAGTGCTTTGAGGTGCCCTTCCAACGTGAAAATGCAAGTATTATTATTCTCTTTGAAGTGCTTCAACAAAAAAATGTTTAAACACCTGGCCCCAAAATCGCTCTGAGGAGCTGTAGAAAGTTGCACTGTGTTTGATTACTTTCTTTTTTCCAATCACTCCCTCCCTTCCTCCCCAAACGAGCTTTTTTACTCTTTGGGATCTCAGTCAGTTCCAGGGACAATGGAAACGGACACTTCAAAACAAGCAAAGCCCCAGTTTCATATAATTGTGCAATTTAAGCAGTTTGTGAATACAGCTTCACTTTCTAAACATTTCCACCCATTCAGTGCTACTGCCATCATTCTTTGGTTAATCCCCAGAAATGCTACACAAGGTATTTGTTGTGCTTATTATATGGTGAATCCCAATAATTCAACAGGGTAATGGTCAGCCCCTCCCCGCCTCCCCTCTTGAAAATTTTGAACAGCCACATTTTTAGTAATAATCCTTGTATTTGGTAAAGTGCCTTTCACATCAGGAGTATGTCCCAAAGTGCTTCATAGGATTTACTGTGAATTAACTGTATTTGTAGGCAAACCTAACAGCCCAATTGCACACCCATGCCCCACAATCAGTCATGAAACCAATGGCTCTTTTTCTTTTTTGGGAGGTGGGGGATAGAATTGATAGGCAGGAGAAATTGACTTCTCTTTTCAAGTAGTGGCATGGGAACTTTTAAAGTCCATCTGAGTAGGGTGTATAATACATCCTACAGTGGAGTCCTGTAGCTCAGTGGTTAGAGCACTCGCTTTGCAAGCGAGAGACCTGAGTTCAATTCCAGGCAGGGCGAAACCTTGGGCAAGTTTCCTTACTCCACACACCTAATAATAATCCCTCCAAAACCCGAAACAATAATAAATTGTTCATTTTCCATCTACGACTGTTTGTGGGACATTGCTGTGCACAATTGGCTGCCGCGTTCGCCCACAAATATACAGTCAATTCACTTTACAGTGTGTTCTGTGAAGCGCTTTGGGACGTCCTCCCGACGTGAAATGCGCTATATCAAATGCAAGGATTATTATTGTTATTATTAAATACAGTCACTTTACAGTAAATTCTGTGAAGTGCTTTGAGACGTTATTACAATGTGAAAAGGAGTTATGTCAAATGCAAAGATTAATATTTTGAGCAACTCCCTTAAAAGAAGCTGGACAGTTAACAACTTCCCTGCATTTGATAGAGCGACTTTCATGTTAGGAAGATGTCGCAAAGCATTTCTCAGGATTCACAGNTTTTTTTGTAGGAGAGTGTTTTTGCTTATAGCAAGTTTTATTGTTGTCAGCTATGCTGCATCATGTAATTTGCAGTACAAGCTGATGGATACAAAATGTGTTTCTTGTTGCACGTCATGCTGTAGAATACCATGCTCCTCTGAATTAATATCGTCATGTCATTCGGAGTCCTGTAGCTCAGGGATTAGAGCACTCGCCTCGCAAGCGAGAGACCTGGGTCTGATTTCCGGCAGGGCGAAAGGTTGGGCAAGTTTCTTTACTCCACACGCCTGTTTAATTAGCAGTAAGTAGATACCCAGTTGTTAGTTAATTGTCAGATCGCTTTTCCGGGAATAATAATTCCCTAAAAAAAATTGGTCATTATCCACGACTGTTTGTGGGACACTGTTGTGCGATATTGGCTGCTGCATTTCGCCCACAAAATATGCAGTCAATTCACTTTACAGTATATCCTGTGAAGTGCTTTGAGACGTCTTGAAAACATGATAAGGCACTATATCAAATGCAAGAATTAATTTTTATTTGAGATTACACTGCAAAGCAACCTGATGGTACTTACTGTGATTTAACACTAGGTGTTTTCTGAAGAACAAGATGTGGGCTTTGTCAAGGAGGATGCCATATGGGATCGTGTCATTCCAAAGGAGATCCTGGAGAAAACTCCCACATCAGAAGAAGTTTCCTCTGACAGCATCACAGTCTGGATTGATCCACTTGATGCTACCCAGGAATACACAGGTAGACAGACGTATGGTTTGCCTTTGGTCTTTTCTGCCACAAGGAAAATTTTCAAGCAATTTGGGAAAGAAAAAAATACACAACATTCCTTTAACTTTATTTTTGCACAAAGAGAGGGTGCTTACTTAATAAATACTGACATGCTGAAGGACATGATGAATAACCTGATACTTTTGAACAATTCTTTTGGGAAAATAACACATGATTGTCATTGTATTCCCTCTACCTGGCTTCATTAATGGCACGCAATACAGGATAGAGTCCATTGCAAACTGCTGTGACTCTTAATAATAATAATAATAATCCTTGCATTTGATATAGTGCTTTTCACGTCTGGAGGACGTCCCAAAGCGCTTCACAGAACACACTGTAAAGTGAATTGACTGTATATTTGTGAGCGAACGCGGTAGCCAATTGCGCACAGCAATGTCCCACAAACAGTCATGGATTGAAAATGACCAATTTATTATTGTTTTGTTCTTGTTGGAGGGATTATTATTAGGCTCTGTGTGGAGTAAGGAAACTTGCCCAAGGTTTCGCCCTGCCTGGAATTGAACTCAGGTCTCTCGCTTGCAAAGCGAGTGCTCTAACCACTGAGCTACAGGACGCACAGCTAGCTGAACACATTCACAGATCCACTCAAACATTCACACATGCACACTCAAATATTCGCATACTCACACGTGCACCCACAAACAAACAAACACAGGTTATCGACAGCTGATGTAAGATGGGCAGGATCAGGGCCAGTAAAGGAGGCTTGTGCACTATTAGTACGGGCTGGTGTGCAGCGATATTGCACATTGCGGACGGGAACAGCAGCAGCTAATTCAAGCAGTTACCAAACTAAAGAGGGTTATTTGTGCCATGAGCTACATTAAAACAAAGGTTAAAAAAAATCTGGATTCAGTTCTATTCCTCAAATCTGAATTTGTTTTCCCCCAAACATCTAAAATAAAAAGCCCTCTATCATCTAAACACCTCTAATCACTGAGACATACTTTGTTTCTGAGTCTATTGAAGCTCTGCTTCTTATCCGTTTCCCACTTTAGTAATTGCCTTGTACATCGTTTCACTCCAGTTCTTGCAGAAACTATAAAACACAATCACATAGGACACCAAACTCAGCAAAAGGATAAGAAATTACACATAAAGTAAAATGCTATTTCACAATTCACAAGACATTCTTCCAGAACACCCATCCTATTGTTTCTCCCCCCCCTCCCCCCATAACAGTATCAAACTGCTGTTTAAATGAATCCATTGTCCTGGCCTCAATCACCCTTCGTAGCCTAGTTGTTAATTACCCTCATATTGTATTATATATGCTACAGATACAATAACTTATTTGATAGCATAATAGAGGTTGCTGTGCTGACTAAAACCCTAGGATCTCTGTCGAGGATTCAGCAGTTCTCCGTCAAATGTTATCTACTTCACTTGTACATTAAATTTATTACATTCTTCCCTTAAGATTTGCAAGCTATTAGTTTAAGAGGTCAGCTGGGGGGCTGACATGTGCAGAAACCCAATACCAAGCTTAAAAGTGTACAGACCAGAGTTCCATGCTTCGCAATCTTGCAGGAACGCTACTGTGACCTGATCTGGCCTTGGTGTATCATATGTGGGGGTTCCTTCCTGGAGGTGCACTTTATGTTCCAAGATTCAAGGCACCATTTATGCTTTGCTGTTGAAGCTCTTTTTCAACCCATATGAATAACATTACACTACATTGTGTTTTTTTATTTACCTCTTATTTAGAAAAGCTTCTATATTACGTCACAACTATGGTGTGTGTTGCTGTGAATGGAAAACCAGTGATTGGAGTAATTCATAAACCATTTGCTGACTTTACAGGTATGCAAGAAAAACATAAATAATTCAGTCTGTCAAAATTAATGTACATATTTCAGTCTTCTCCCTTTTTTACTCCCTCTATTTTTCTTTCTCCCGTCTTTAGTCACATCATTCCTTTCGATCAGCTTTGGGTACTCCATATCCTGTTCTTTTCCTTCTGTCATGGCTTCTGTTAGAGATATCATGTTTACATCAGGCAACAACCCACAATCTCTGATAAAGGATGAGTATTATAGGAGTGAAAGCGTTGGAAGGTATCCAGCAGAACAGGCACAGACTTGATCTGGTCCTTACTGGAATTAATATATATAATACTGCACTTCACATTGTAACATATAATTGGGTACAGTTGTGCTTAGTGGCTCACATACTGATTAAACAGTTACACTGGGCAGATGGAGTAATGGATGTTGGTTTATTGTATATAGGAAAAAAAATTAAGTTGTGTTCAATCAGAATGCAGTCAATCATTTCCACAAATGCATTAACAGGCTTTACGGGGAAAGAAAGTTTTGATCACTACTAAATTTTCTGTTCAAACAGTACCCTTTCCCCTTCCCATTTAAACTAGTTTCCCTCCCAGGAAGAGAGAAGGCTAATCGACAATGTTTATTCTGAACTCACTGAAGTCATCTTGAAAGAATCAACATATGTCGATTTGAAAGAAACTGATAACCAAGTGAAATCTAATTATTGAAGCTTTTTATTGGGAGTCTCTGCTGCTAATGCCCTTCAAATGCCACAATTAAAGGGAGGTTAAATGTAGCAGTGGGATTTTTTTCTTTATGAGACAAGGGAGTGATTATCTACAATATGCTCCTGCACATTATGGTATTGCATTTCCTGGTACCTGTGCAGCATTTTGTTTGACTCTCAGCTCTCTAAATCTTTGAAGGGATTCTTAACCAATTCCACTTTACTCTGCCTCCCGCCTCCCTACCTACTCCCTATTTCACTGTTTAATTGCCCACAATTGAACAATAAATGTCTAGTCTTAACGGTGATTTTCTTTCCCCAATGTTACAGCATGGGCAATGGTCCATGGAGGATCAAATGTGAGTGTCCGCAAATCCTACAATAAGAAGAACCCCAAAGTTATAATCTCTCGGTCACATACAGGTACAGGGAAAGCATTTGCCCAGAAGGTGTTTGGGAATGACAGTGACATCATTGAAGCTGGAGGAGCAGGTAAGGTTGAGTGTAAAATGCAGAATTATCTTTTCTTGATTATTATATCTGCCTCATTGCAATTCAGGAAAATAATCTAGAACTTCCAACTATTATACAATAATACATTTTGTTTTATGTCTAGTTTAGACAAGCATGGATTAGTCATGTGATTAAATTTCATTGACCTGAACATGATAATAAAAGTGGTGATTTGTATATTGGGAGGTTAGTAATTAAAGCAGCTGTCACGTTCAATAAATCTGTTTCATTGGGTGACCAGAGAAGATGATTCGTATAAGACTTAGATTAGTTGCTCCACATTTTTTTTCAACTGCTTGTACATTATTGAAAGTAACCAAAAAGCATAAAATAGCACAATTATAATTTAAGGCAAACCACTGGCATTATGTATCCGTCACCAATAACAGCCAATGGTGCAATAAGATGTAGCCTCCTATCAGTATAACACGTGAGTTATTGCATCATTGATCACATTATGACATTTTATCCCCCTCCCTTGACATTTTTTTTAAAATCTATAAATTTAATGTCTCAATTATTTTTTTCCCCCCATTATTTCTCTCTGCTACTGGTCTGACCTCCTCTTGCTGAGGTGTGATTCCTTGGATGTTGGTTAACCCTTCTACTCCACCCTAAGTGGCTGTTGTTCACGCATGTGCCTTCACAGTGAGTGTCATCAGGCCACTCCATGATAGAGCGTCTCACTGCCGAGCAAGACCTCCTCCCCACATGTTTGCCACATAAGGCGAACAACTACTACAGAATGTTGTAGATCGATCAGAAGTGGAACCCTGGCTGGTTTACTCTTCCCTAACCCTCGAAAGACTGGCTGAGACCATGTTTCAAATGAGGGAGCTTCTGGTCTGTAAATTGCAGCTCTTGTCTATAACTGAAAGGCCAATGTTTATCTACTACACCATCTAATATCAATATGTATGATCCAGAATTTGAAAATCAGGATATCGTACTGGACAAATACTGAATACCGACAGAATAGAAGGGAAATCCAGACTTTTGAGAAATGTTGCCTTCTGTGCTTTTGTGTAGATAATTTTGAACTCCTTCTGCCTTTTGCATTGAGGAACATTGGTAACCTGTTGTATCTTTTGTAGGATATAAAGTTCTGTCTCTGCTGGATATACCTGATGATAAACAGCCTGACCATGCTGATGTATATCTGCATGTAACTGATATCAAGAAATGGGATATCTGTGCTGGCAATGCACTCTTGGAAGCACTTGGTGGCCAAATAACTACTCTCAAAGGAAACACTATTAATTATTCCAATACAGAGTTGAGTGAAGATGGACTTCTTGCTAGCATTGGCATGCCTCACAAAGAATTGCTTGATAAATTACCAGATTTGAAATCCATGAAAACACGATAAAGGGATCTTAACTAATGCTTCAACATAAAAGCAAATAACTGTGTGTTCATAATTGGTACGGATTAACCATTAGCCTGTATTCCTCTTGGAAAATTAATAATGCTGAATTTTGGGTGTGAGGATAAAAGGCTCCAGTGCTGGGTATAGATAACTTTGTTTGCCAAGAAAATCAAGGATGAGAAGCTTTTCTTGTCACCAAGTGCAGGAACTTTGATGATGCTCGCTAACAGTGGGATTTTCCATTGTTGCAATGAGGAATATTAGACCTAACAACCAACACTAACCTTACAATGTTTGGAATACAGTGTAGTTTGTTTTTGTGCAGACTTTAGTTTTACCTTGCGGATCATTGTGAATGGTTTTCATAAAAAGCGTAACTTAATTATATACTGTAAGTTGAGTTTCCAGTCTGTTCCCTTGTTAAGCTGAGGTACTGTTTCTTAAGACCTAGAATTTTTGTTTCTTTGAACTCTATGTGTAGCATTCACTGTACTGTTTAAAAAATACTGGAATTTTTTTAATAATGTTTTCTTTGCAAGAATAGCAATTAAAAGTAACCACCAGGAGGGATTACTTCCTTCTTTTGCGGAACCCCACAGTGGTTACCCATAACTTGGTGTGAATAAATAAAGACTCACTAAATCAGTCATCTTTGAACTTTTCCTGTAACATTTTATCTAGTGTTTTTTCTCTTACATTTTGTGTTAAATTGTGAAAAAAACTGTTGAATGAACTTACTGTGATATTTTACTATGGTGTATTGTTAAACAGCAAAGTTTGTTTAGAAAACTGTTGCATATTTAGCATGTTCTCATTGGGCAATAATAAATGATAAGACTTGCATATATCTGAAAGGGGTGGGTGGGGGGGTGTTGAAGGAATTTACTATACCACGGATTCGGAAGGATGTGGGTAGAAGCCACACATCAAGACTTTAATCTTATAAAACTGATACTCAATGGCATTGTTCAAAAGGAGAAAGGAGTTTCTGGACTGGGCAATGATCCCCCCAAATAAAATTAATGATTCACTTCACGGCTGTTTGTGGGACATTGCTGTGCGCAAAATGGCCGCTGGGCCCACCTAAAAAATACACAGTCACTACACTTGACAGAAAATACTTGTGAAACCCCTTGAGATGTTTCATGGTGAAAAGGCGCTAGGTCAAATGCAAGTTATTTTTATTATTGTTTCAGTACAAGACAACTGAATACTGTACCTGATGATGATGCATATGTCTTGCTCATTTTACGATCAGGAGCACGAGACGTTTTTATCTGAAAATATATTACTGTTGGTGAATGCGAAAAGTGTTAAAAGCAAAATGCAAGAACTAATGCAAGAAAAGTTGCAGTGTGTGATCCAGATCAACGCAACATGTTTTATTTGTACAGAAACTAAAACTTTCTATTCTTACACACTACGTACGTGTTCACATCTGAATACGAGTGTTTTCAGCTATAAAGATGCAGAATTATCTGTCAATCTAATTTTTCTGTATAAACATGCTTATACTACAGTATTAGTAATAATTTTATTTTGTGTGTTAATGCTGTAATATATGAAGGTCAGGTGGGTGGAATATTATTTTTGTAAAGGCTAGCATATAATTCTTTTCATTAATCCTAGTTTCTAAATTATATTGGAGGCATTTTAAGACTGCACGTCAGCATAGTAGCAAAGTACAATTAGTGCTTCCATTTACAGCCTCTTAGATATGGCTCATTTTATGGTCAGTGGAGTGGCATAATTTTCTTAACTATTAAGCAACACATTTTTAGTCCTGTACATGGTCTGAAATAATACTAAGCTTCTCATTCAGTTTATAAAATTCATTGGTTTCTGAATACTTTAGCTTTTTGTTTTGGGTTTATTGTATATCATTGATAAAGCTATCATTGCTAAAGGTAATCTCTTTGATCATAATGACTATTGGTTTAAAATCTGAATACAGGGTAATGAACCTGAAATAAGCCAGTGCTGCATTTATTGACACATGAGAATTTATTGACACATGAGAAGGGCATGAGAATTTGCTAGGCGACAAAAAGACCAAGGTCCATCTCGTTCGCCTTCCACCATTCTGGCAGTCGCTTGACATGTCATGTCCCAAACTATATATTGTATCCTGAAATGTTCTATCTAATTTGTTCTTGAAACAAACAACACTTTCTGCTTCCACCGTCTCCCTAGGGAGCCTGTGTTCCATAAGTTTAGTACTTGCTCACTAAAGTATTGTTTATACAGATTTGTTCAGATTTTGATGTTTCTAAACCAAACTGGGTTTATGGTTGAAATATGGGGAGCAAAAGTTTGTTGTAAAATCTATCCATTCATATTTGGGTATCTTGCATTGCATTAAAGGGATAATTTGCATCCATTTCTTAAAAATAATTTTTTGACGCTGTTGTTTGTTCCCAGTTTATAACCTTACTCTGGTTGGTTGAGAAGCCAGTTAGATGATCCTAAAATCATTATGCTTATTATGTGTTTACTCATTGGTAGTTCTCTGGTAACCAATCAAAGTGGCCACCCTTCCTGTGTATTTGCAGGTTATTCAATCATGGGGGAAGGAAGGGGGAAATAGAGGGTAATTGTGGCTAAATGAGAGCATTGCCTTGCCCAATATCTACACATGCATGCTTTCCTGCAACATTCACTGGACAGTGATCAGGAGAGTGATAGCCTAACCTGGGGCATTTGAAGTCCACTTTAATGCTGCCAATATCACTTTTACAGAAAAATATAGTGTGTACAGCACAGAAACAGGCCAGGCAACCCAACTGCTGACAGGCAGCCAAACTGGTCCCTGCTGGTATTTTATACAACACATGAGCTGCCAGTTTCACCATATTCTATTGTAGCTTTCTCTAATTCTTTCGCTGAGATCAGTACATATCAGGGATTGCACCTGGTTTCTTCTCAGTCTGTGTTTGGCTCTGTGGCTCACTGCATAAATTGATTTGAGTCAGAGAGGGAGAAGCTAATTATGTTGTTATTCCATCACTTGAGTTGATCTGGAAATAAGTGCTCCCTCAACAATAGACATCTCTGTTCCAAAACAAATGTAGTAAGGTAGACCGTATATTGTATTTTTTAAATTAAGCTGTCATGCCACTATTATGATAATGTTCATTGCCATGTAAAAGAGAGAAATTCCGTATTGAGTTCTGATCTGCTCAGTTAACGCTGATGTGCTCACATTTTAAGTTTAATTTTAGACGTGAACCAAAAGCTGTGATTGGCAACTCTAAATGACAGGGGAAATTGCATTGACAGCAGGCTGTAGGAACACACTCCAAGCAGATAAATAAAGAGGATCAAAGGATATGAATAAAGGCAGCATAAACCTTCAAATATTGTATTTTAAAAAAAGCTTTGTTCTTAAACAAGTACATTTTGAATCTTTTTTGCAATTTGTTTCTCTGCTATAATTTACACTACTTATAATGTTTTGGTCCTGTATTTAAATGTATCGTATATAATCATTGTTTTGAATTTCAGAAATACATCATTTGAAATACTAGCATAAACATTGTGTCACTATTCCAATGAAACAGTAGTGGAAGTTTGTTGTAATACTTTTTTTAAATAAGTATACATCATCTTTAAAATTGCTACTTTCAACCCATTAAGAGGGTTTTACTGCAGAGAATAGCATGAATAGTGATTAGGTTTTCTGTGTTTTGAATGAACTTTACCATAAGTTGTTTGTAAAATCACAAATATATGTCACTCTTGATACAAGCTTTTACATTTTTAAATCTCAAGTCTTATCCAGTATTAGTGCAAGTATATAAGATTCTTATTTTATTATAGTTGAATGCATTTTAAACATCGGTAAACAAGTATTTGAAATATATTTTAGACATCAGTTTGTTCAAGAAAATGTAACTGGAAATGTTTGTTTTATGTAGTGTGTACCATTTTTAGTCATTCCTGTTGTTCAAATGTACGTGGTGTGTCTCATATACTAAAACATAACATTTAAATTATTTTGTGCTTCAAAATATGAGAGAGAAATGTTATCTTCTGGATTGATTTTGTGCTCTCTTTAATGTGTTTTACTTAATACATAGCCCTGAGTATCTAAATGTGTGGGTGTTCAGCTGTGCGGAGAAATGAAAGACAATTGTTGCTGGAGAACTGTCCTTGAGTTATTGAAGCTGTGACTTCACTCCAGGGCATTTCATGTCATTCTCTGTATATAGTACAGCGATAACAGCTTCTGACCAGAGTAGACCAGACCATTGGTCCATCCAGCCTCTCCATCCAACTTCCTGCAAGATTTCTTTCTTTATGTACAGTAAACTGGGAATACAATGCCAACTTGACTTTGTGACTATCATTCTCTTGTACACACTGTAAGCAGATGAGACCATTTAGGTTCATGAAAGTGGATGCATTTTTCAAGGAAGCTGATATCTGAAACACTGACCACCTACTGCATTTTTGGAGTTACCCTGTGTACTATTTTTGGGTTGTTAACCAGGGTAGGAAACAATATGAAACAAAGTTGCCCATTTAACCAAACAGATGCTCAAATCTTTCCCGAACTAGATTTGTTTGAACGCAGATCATCTTGATGGAGCCCAATTACCTGTAGTTTATCAAATGAGACCTGTTTTATTACTGTAACATAATGGAACCACAAGCGGCACATATCTGTGAGGCCTCAGGTCCTGTACAAAATAAAAGTATTTCCTGAATTCAATCATGGCTTCCTGCATACAACTCACAGCTCGTCTGATTGAGAAACTCACTTTCAAGTTTCTGCATATTTTAAATGTGTTAAACACAAAGTTAAAATTAGACTCCTAAGGAATAAGCACCAAAACAATAAATCTCTGGAAATGTTTTGGAAGACAAATGGACTGCGAGCAGGAGGCCACCTGAACTAAGGTGAATGTGGAATTTAATCAATTGTACACAAGACTATGTTTTGAAATTCCTGATATATACATTTTAAAGGATATTGAACATTTGGATTTGCGGTGTGAACTAATGCTTTTGTTGGGGATGCAAATTGGTGTCCTGCTGGTGGATTTTTGACTTGGTTTAAGATAAGCAAAATAAGGTTTTGGTTGTGAAAATAAATGTGGTTGGAGCTATTTACAATCGTACACATTGGGGGGGGCGGGGGGTGTTGCTCGGGAGGTAGTATCCTGACACAAACTACTTAATGTTGTTATTTCTGTGAGTGCAATTTTAATGCAATGTTTATGGATAAAGACCTAACTTATTAAAATACGCATTTTGGTTCTAATCTGCAATCATACAAAATTTGTTGAGCCCACAAGTTACTTTTATTTTGTACAGCTACTTTAATTAAATTACTAACTAAATGGAAAACATTTATGAATGCTGGTTGCTGCATTGTTGAACTTTTTAAAAAAATATCTATCACTAATAAAAATATATGCAACCAGTTTTGATGCACAGCAATCAGAAAATTCAACTTTCACTGTGAGTAGATTTATTGCTTGTCTCTGCAGAATCAGAAAGTGATGTAAAGTTAGTTTTAGATGAAGCTTAAAACAAACGAAACATAGAACCTGTGAAAATGGTATTTTCAATGTTAGTCAACTTACAAATTTTGTACAAGGCAAAATTGCATTTTTAACAAATAACCAATAATGGATTGTTTAAAGTTTGTATAAGTTTTGCATTTGTGCTTCACAATCTGTTTGATGTGCCAAATAAAATATGTTATTTGAAAGTTCAATTTTAACTGGAATCTGATAGTTTGTGCAGTTTTTAATGTGATTTAATTCAAAAGGGTTCTGTGTAACTCTTAAAAATGCTTTTTTACATCGTTGTTTTTGCTGTATTGTGAATTGCATTATTATAAATGGTGGAAAAGGCAATAATATTTCAGGGTCAATTTTAATTAAAATCAAAGAAACATCACCATGTCTAGCAAGTTATTCTTAAAATATTTTGGAATACACGAATAATCTTTACATTATCCATGCAAAGTTCTCTGTTTTCAGCATAAGATATTCAAACAAAATGATGCGCGTGTGCAAAATGAACCAACTTGATCAAAAACGAGCTTGATCAATGAACTGAATGAACAGTGAAAGTGGTACCTGTTTAATTCTGAGCCAGTGTTACACATTCATTGCATTGGTATTTCCCTGTTTTATTCAACTGAATTTTAAACGAGTGAGATGATCTTAATCTTTTAAGTTTTGCTTCATTTCTGGTAAACAGAAGGGAGTTTCTCCCAGTGTTCTGGTCAACAATCTCCCAATTAAAATTGGTCACTCACGCCATGGCTGGTTGTGGGACATTGCTATGTGCAAACTGACTGCCACGTTTCACCCACAAAATAAAGACAAACCATTCAACAGTACAGTATATCCACACATCTTTGAGAGGTCTCGATAACGTGATAAGGTTCCATATCAAATGCAAGGATTGTATAGAAGAGGTTAATTTTGGTCAAGATCCCAAATTGCAAAGACCTACAGGTAACACCCAAAAAAGCCTTTGTGCTACCAGCTGATTAGAGTTATAAGAAATCATTTTAATACTAACAGATATGAAAGTAAAAGCAAAACAAGGCCAAAAACAAATTGCTTAAATCAAGAAGAAAAGTCAGCTGCTGATTACAAAGGGTGGCAGCTGATTGAAATGTAAATGAATATCTCGTTCCATTTCCACTAACAATCTAGAAAACAGGTAAATTAATGGGGGAAGAGTCTGCAGGAGAAAAATTCAATAAATGGACAGAGAGATGGCAGATTAAAAATGCTGATGGAGTATTGATTTGAGTCTGGATTCTAATTACGAGTGGAATCTATCCAGAGAAAGGTAGAGACCAGCAAAATTCTCCCTTCAGCATTTTTGCTAAAAGGAAAGCAAGTTTGAAGGCTCTCAAACGCAAACAACAACTCTCAAAAATTAAATTACTTGTCAACTGATAACTGAACACCCAAAGTATGACGATGCAACTCTAGTCAAGGTGACCGATGACCTAAGAGACCATGGAAACTGCGATGAGAGATGGCCCTGATAAGGTCAAGATTTTAAAAAGCCCAATAAATGATCATATTGCTTACACGCTTTTTAAAG